ATGCCACTGTTTTTTGAATGGTGAGTGTAGAGAACCGAAGACCCTTTTCACTGGAAACGAGGTATCCTATCTTAGTCCTAAGGGATGACGAAGCATCTGCATTTTGATACTTAATTGAGGATAGATGTAGATGTCTATGGGCCATAGCAACCACTAACCATCAGGTGGATTGTGTGCTCGTTTGTCACCCTTATCTTATAAAAAATATTACAGCCTTAGAATTAGTTAGTAGTTAGTAGAATTAAGCATAAGCTATTTACATGACTCCATTTTCTTGCAAATACAAGGTTATTAATAAATAATTACCATTCAAGTATTGTAAGCAACTGTTATCACATTTGAATGCGATTATTGAATCCAAGTCTTGACAAGAGTGATGGATGTTTAGGAGATAATAGCTTTCAAGTTTTGACATGTCTAAACGCATCCTTTTACGTGCTTGTGTCATTTTTGACGTGTTCCTTCAAGTATTGCACGTCATTGGAGAAATTTTTTATTCTAGTGTTGAATATTTTAGAAGAGGCGTGTTTATTAAAAAATGAGTAAAAAAGTGTCAAAATTCGGTTGTGCTGATTTGATACGTGGTAGAGCCATGCTGCAGTTATATTAGTAGTACAGTTGTAACACGAATGGGTCGGCTCGACCGGGGAAGGACCACGCTCTCACAGAATACCAGCGTGAAATAGTAGCTTAATGCTGCTGTATTTCCTATGGTGAGTGTAGAGAACCGGAGACCCTTTTTACTGGAAACGAGGCATTCCATCTTAGTCCTCACGGGTGACAACACATCTGCATTTTGATTCGTAATCGAGGATAGATGTAGATGTATATGGGCCACAGCAACCACTTACCATCAGGTGGACTGTGTGCTCGTTTGTCACCCTATCCTATTAAAAAAAAATTAATTAAATATATTGAGATTTATCGCAATCATCATTTATGGGATACCTACTGAAAATGTAAATTACAAGAATCATGATGCGCATAATGTTGCATTTGCAGCATTTGCACAAGAATTTGATTTTTTTTTTAATAAAAGAGGGGGCAAATTAGCATAGGGCTCACCTGATGGTAAGTGTCGACCTCAGATCATATAATCTTATATCTATGGTGTCGACCGCCGCCCATGAACAACTGCAACACCAGGGGAATCGCAGGTTGCCGTTGGCGGCTTTGAAAAAAATAGTAGGCTCATTTCTTAAAGGTTCCTTAGTCAGTTGTGACAGTGCATCTAATGAATCTCTAGTCGCCAAAATTTTTTATGCTATTTCTAGTTTCGTTTGAGCAGGAATAGCATTACGCATTTTTGTATTTTGCCTTCGCATAGAAGAACCAACTTTAACAAATAATAAACCTGTGTTCTGTTCACGTGAAACATGTCCCTAAAATCATCTTCGTTTTCTGTTTGTGACTCTACACAGAGATTGTTAGGTGCTCCGAGAATCTCCCTTTTTATAGGATAGGGTGACAAACGAGCACACAGTCCACCTGATGGTAAGTGGTTGCTGTGGCCCATAGACATCTACATTTATTTTCGATTAAGAATTAAAATGCAGATGCGTTGTCACCCGTGAGGACTAAGATGGAATGCCTCATTTCCAATAAAAAGGGTCTCCGGTTCTCTACACTCACCATACGAAACACAGCAGCATCAAACTACCATTTCACGCTGGTATTCTGTGAGAGCGTGGTCCTTCCCCGCTCGAGCCGACCCATTCGTGCTATAACAATACCACTAATATAACTGCAGCATGGCTCTACCACGTATAAAACCCTTCCTGCTATCCATTTTTCTCCCTTCTTGCTATCCATTTTTTGATCTAACACCTTTTTCTACGATGTTATTTAAATATTTCTTGCGTCAAAGGAGCAGTAACGATCAACACACCAGCTGCACTTATATTTGCAAATGAAAAGAAAATCCAATTGAATACAAGAGTTGTGTAAGAAATTATTGTGTGTGCTTTTTACACCAAGATAAGTAATGAATCGTGTAAATAGTCCATTAGAGTAACATTTGTTGGTGAAAAATAAATAATCTAAATTGCGGTTGCTAACCTGTCTGCAAAGCGTAAGAACTATGTCAAATATTCCCTCTGCCTAAACTTTTGATAAATAAACGTAGATATTTCTGATCGAATTTTATGAGATTGTTAAATATTAATATTTTTTAAACACTAGAAGTGTTAAAAAATATTAATATTTTTATGTTACAGCAGGCCACGCAGAAAGTTTTCACTAACGCCGGTTACATAGAGGTGTAGGCAGTGACTACGGACTTCCATTTGGCATGATCCTGATACACTTCTCTCGCTTCCTTTAGATCCATATACCTGCGCATACAAGCTCATCGGTTAAAGATACTCTTAATCTCCCCATCTTAAATATATTGCCAATTTGGTCGATATACTTTCATCTAGGGCATCCTTTACCAACTCTGCCTTTCACTTCTGCATATTTCCTTTATCACTCTTTCCTTGTTCATTCCTACTTCACCATCAAGCCACCGAGGCATTCCTTTCTTGATCTCCATAACAACATTATATTGCTAACCACAATTTTCTCTTATCACACAATAATTCACATGTCATTCAGATTCAGCACTCCATTATAACCTTTACCATACTTAACCTAATACAATGGCCAGTTATAAAACTTATTGTGACGTAATATATTTATTTATTATAATTTTGAAATTCTCTCCGCATTTGTAACGAGCAAATCGAAATATCTTGTTTCACTGAAAAATGGATCTGTATCAGACACGTTTTCGCACGATATTTTTTTACGATTCAAATATCTCCGAAAATCGGATAAGTTTTTTTTTATAGAAGAGGGGGCAAACGAGCATGCGGCTCACCTGATGTTAAGTGACTACCGCAGCCCATGATCAACCGCAACACCAGGGGAATTGCAGGTGCGTTGCCGGCCCTTTAGAAAGGAGTAAGCTCTTTTCTTGAAGATCCGCAGGTCGTATCGGTCCGGAAAAATCGCCGGTGGTAAACTATTCCACAGAGAGGTTGTACGCGGAAAGAAAACTCCTTTTGAAACGTACTGTGGTGGACCGCCAAGCATCCAGATGGTGTGGATGGTATCGGGACGTTTGCCGCGTAGTGCGTTCACGAAATTTGGCGGCTGGGATTAATCCGAACAATTCCTCAGAGCACTCTCCATGGTATATGCGAAATAAAATGCAAAGAGATGCAACATCTCTTCGCAGTGCCAGTGAATCGAGCCGATTGGAAAGCACTCGGTCGTCGACGATTCGAGCCGCTCTGCGCTGGATGCGGTCAAGTGGAAGCAGTTGGTACTGGGGAGCCTCAGCCCAGAGAACAGTATTCCATGTGCGGCCGAAGCTGCGCCTTGTAAAGTTGCAGGCGGTGTGCCGGCATGAAATACAGTCCCGCTCTGCTGAGCACGCCAAGCTTTTTAGAGGCCAATTTGGCCTTCTCTTCCAAGTCACCACGAAACTGCACGTCACTCGATATGTCAACGCCGAGGATTCCGATACTGGCTGAGGCAACAAGGGGAGTGCCTTGAAACTGAGGAAGTAGTAAGATGGAGTACAAAGAAGGAGTAGAAAGATGGACTACAAATGGCACTACAATTAATAACTACAATGGATAAAAGCCTTTCTAACGCAACCGTGCATTGCTGGTATAATTTCAGTACGGTTGACTAACTTTGAGACATAGAAAAAGAAGGCGCTCTTCAAGCTGGAATCCTCCCCAACGATAACCTAAATTTTATTATGTCATGATTTAGTGATAAATTGGTGACAATTAGTGACTTTTAAATAATACTAGTTTTTTACGGATTATATCGCGTATATTAACTTTTTACATACCCGATGATTCGAGCAGCACCCATGGTCACGGAGGGAAGTACCCCCCGTGACCATGGGTGCTGTAAAGTGCTGGATACATCGGGTATATAAAAAAGGGTAAGGTCGGGTATATAATGTGTAGTGATCGCGTAAATATAAGAAATAATTAGTGGCTTAAAAAATTAACTTATAACTTTAGGAGATCTTTAGCTCTTTATTTGGGAGGATTCTAGCTTCTATTTAAGCTATATTATATAGGATATTGATGTGGAGAATCCGAGCTTGACGAACGCAAAAGAAGTGGTCTAACCTTGACGTCTGTAACGGATGTAAATTATATATGAAGAGGTACACAGCGACCACTTCAGATCGGATTGGCGATCACTAATAAGATTTTATATATCAAAATTTGATTATTGGAAAGATTTGAAAATAAAACAATGGACTACAAAACTTATTTTCGTCCCCAAAATTTTTTTAGTGGCCCACGTAGGATGAAGTTATGTTAGCTTTATATAGAAAAATATTATTCAAAATTTTCAGTCTATATATCAAATGTTAGTGTAGTTTCAATTTTTTTTTTCAATAATACAAACAGTTATTTTTCATATACGAAGTGGGCGACATTAAAATGATGATACGAGTATGTTCAAAAATCAACTATAATTGTTGTGAATAAGAAATATATAATGTTTGTTAAGCAAAACGACGTAAGCGACCATAGTAGAATATAGTTCTAACGAGGAAAGCCAAGTCATGTTTTTTTTTAAAGAAGAAACTGACGCACTAATTTGTACTTATTATTACAGACTTTAAACAACCATTGATTAAGCAACTGGAAAAAAATGACAATGCAAAAGGATTAAATAATAATATACAAAATGTGATATTAAGCGTTTCGACGGGGGAATATTATAAAATGAACGCAACTAATAATAACTCAAGTAACATTGAAAGCAAAATTACAACATTTAGTTTAGATAATGAAGATGAAAGTACGACAACGTTTGATTATTTCGCTCAAGTTTTAAATACAGTAGCTTCTACGGAAAAAATTTCGCCAGGGACAATAAAAACTTGCAAGGATGTAATGCCAGTTGAAGATTTTATTGAAGTTTTTAAAAAAAGGCTTCTTAAGGATCAGGTACTCAAAGAATTTTTCCTAACATCTAAAATGTCTGAAAATAAAGAAAAATCTGATGGCGCGTATACCGATGCTAGTGTAGCAGATTTTATGGGTCAGATATATAGTAAAAAGGAATCGCCTACAACTTCGAAAGCAACGGAGCCGGATTACTTAAATTCAACGTTACTTGTTGATTTGGTAGAGGCAGTTATTTTTAGAAATAATGGTATGTATATTTCGTAAACATTAACTTTTTATTTTTATTAATATTTTATAATAATATTTAAAATTGCAGCTAAAATATCAGCTACAGAAAAAGTAGAACAAAATAGTAAGTTTGAGTCTCATTCGGATATAAATGCTATTAAAATTAAAGCTGAACTTGGACAGGTTAAAGAAAATTTACAGTTTACTGGACATTACTTTTTCCCTGAAGATGATAATGATCAAGATGTTAAAGAAACAACAGAGTTATACTACGATGCTTCAAGTATGGCAGTATCTGATATTGAGCTAGAAATAGAAAACTTAAAAAGAAATAGAGGTACTAAAGATTTTCTAGAAGAAATTCTTGAATCTGATTATAACACAGAAAATTTGTCCAAAATTGAAGTGCTTACGACTAATACTACAAATTATAGTGAAACTGGTAATTTTGATCTTAATTATTCTAATGTTAACTAATAAACACATGACAACCCACGTATTTCAAGTAAGTAGTTAATATGATTATAAAAAACTATGCTTAAACTACAGGGAGTGAATATAACTTATATGGAAATTTAAAAACAAGCCCTATAAAAAAGTCTGAGATACTCAGCCCTTTGTTGAGAAAAAAGCGATATGATGAAAATGTAATAATAAATAGAAATAGAGCAATAACAAATAAAGGAATAAGTGATAACGATATTGAAAGTAAAGATTTTAACGTGAGGATCAATGATACTGCTATTCACTACATTGACTACAAACACTTATTGAAAAAAATCGTTGCAGATTTAGAAATCCTAACATTAAAGGAGCGATTTCATTGCACTGATTTTGCAGTTTTAAATACGTCGTTTTTATGTTCTTGTAGTAATTCATTCATGATATTATCACTTCTTTTTTGTTTTTTTATTAAATTGTAACTAAATAAAAACTGAAAAGTATTAAAATAGTCTCAGTTTACGTTCAAAAATGTTTCATTATATTTTAATGTCTTAATGAAAAACACAAAAAGATTTAAATTATAAATACCATTTTTATTGCATAAACGTTATACATAAAATAAGAGAAAGCAATAAAATATTATTTTTACTCATGATGCTTCCTTTACAAAAACATTTCTGTTGATGATGCTTTATAATGTTTCTTTCCCACATGTGCCTTATTTTTTCTAGAATTTTATAGTAAAGCTCGCCATAAGATATATTTTCATAGTTATTTTTTCTACCTTTTCTCCCAACATTATTTAAATATTTTAATTGATAAATTTTGCTATTTATATTATTGTCTCTCTTCATTCGTTCTATTACGTCATAACATAGACAATCACTGTTACTTTTCTCTTTTATCATATTTTCTTTTTGTGAAGCGCTAGGAAAGGAAGACATGGATGCATCTAAGTTAGCTAAATAGTTATAACCAGATATTGTTCCTTCTTGAGGATTACGACGTTGTATATTAAGAGATCGACGTTCACAGTAATCATCATCTCCTATTTCTGATGTTTCATTGGGTTCAGAAATATCTTCTTTAGTAAAATGTAATTTGTTTCTATCCATATAATCTCTAGTGCACGTGGAAGTACGCGTGCAGCCATCCACATATCCTTGAGGTGTGCGTGAACCTCGATTGACATTTCCATTTTCAGCAATAATGCTACCATTAGAGTCAGTCATTTTAGTCATTGTCCATGTACAAGTAACTTTGCGTGTACAATGTTTTATTCGCATAAAAGGGGTGTTAGTTGTTATTTCTGTGGTACTAGCTATGGTAGTGGCTATGGTAGTGGCTGTGGTAGTGGCTGTGGTAACGACCGTGGTTTTGGCTGCGGTGGTATCATTTTTTATTGCGCCTTGCCGTCTGGCATCATAATCCCCGCCCAAATTAATTCTTCTAAGTTGCATTAGCTCATTAAACGATAGGTACTTTTCGGTAATTGGGGATGGTTTATTATTATGTTCATAATTTACCAATTTCACAGTTATATGTTCATTTCTTTTCGTTAAAGTTGTCTGCTTATTTTTTTTTACGATTTTATTTGATAAGGTTGTGTACCGATTGGCTTTTAGCTGAAGTCTTTTATTGTCCAAAGTGTCATCCAGTTGCCAAAAAGGCTTAATTTTTGTATATTGTTTATCATTCCGTTTTAGTCTCAAGCTGTAATGAGACTTATGATATAAAGTGTTTATTAAAATAATAAAACGACATTATTATATAATATTACTTCAGTATGCGACAGGTCGACATGGCCATCGGCCTATGAGCTGAGGCAAGAGGGAGGGGATACCCCGTATACCCGTACATCGACAGCGCGATCTTAGTTTTAGCGCTGCACGAGTCCGCATCGACCTCGTTTATCGATTTCGATCTAGCTCACATTGTTCTTTGTTGTATATTAATATGACGTCGGTTGCAAAAAATCCTCATCACGTGTTAAAATAAAATAAAAAAAATAACAATAATACATTCTCAAGCATGAGGACTAGCCAGAGTTTTGTTAGTAATTGTGGCATTAAACGGAAAATCGATTAATATAAACACCTTGACATTAGAAAGGGTTGCGTTTTACACCAGATTATTGAAAAGAACTTTGTCCAGAATAAAATCCCGATAAATACTTAAAATCGCCCATAGGAAGAAGACAGTCCAAAACTTTTGTGTAGACAACTTTGATCGTACAGTAATTCATAACAATATAACAGAATTTTATTTACAAAAGAAAACTGTTCCGACATGCCCAAAGCTACTTGTGCGTTATGCGAAAAATTATATTTTCCTTGGCGTGTTCGTACGTTTTTTAACAGACATTGTAGTCTGTTAAAAAAAGCTGCAGTTCAAACCAACGAATTTTAATTGAAAAGTCAGATATAGTTTTCTAACGTTATCAATATTTAACGAAAGTTAGAGAATTCCGAGAACACTACAGAAATATTTTTATTAAGATTGAACGTGGGTGTATAATAATTAAACTTTCTAAAAGTGTTGGCAAATGACTAGATCAAAAAGAATTCTCACATATACTAGTTCTGGAAATAGACTCATAGTAGTCAGCGCAGGTGGCAAAAACGGTTTTCCACCGGGGGTTTCTTTGATATTGTTGCGCGCCATAATTAATGCCCGGTATATGGCGGGTGACTATTAGCGCCACCTGGTGTCATATAGCAGAAATAGAAGCATCAAGATATTTCTAAAACACTCCAACTGGCACCATCTAGTATAGAATAGAAGAACTAAGCTTTCTAGAAAACTCCACACTCGATCGGGACCGGTATTTGCAGAAACATTCTAGATGTTTCGGTGGAAAAGACTTATATAAAGCCGTTTAGGGCCGCGACCGGGGTAGTATTGAATCCCGTTATCAGGGACAAATGAATTGACCATTGATGGCGAATTTTGAGAAATGGGTAGTCGAAAGGTTTTTGCCTTTACTTGCTGATCACAGTGTCGTAATAATGGAATACGCACTCTACCGTAGTGTCCAGCTGAATAAGCCCCCAAGAAAAAGTTCGCTAAAATCTGCAATTATAAAATGGTTGGAAGATAATAATATTTCTTGTGACAGGTCAATGAGGAAACCAGATTTATTTAATTTATAGAAAAATGCAGACCCGTTGATATCAATTATAAAGTTAACAGTATAATTAAAGGACATGGCCATGCCTGTGTGCGTGCGTTCGTGCGTGCGTGCGTGAGTGCGTGCGTGCGTGAGTGCGTATGTGCACGTATATGCGTGTGTGTATGGATCTCTCTCTCATTTATCTCCCATAACTTTTGAATGGCTTCACCGATTTTAATGAACTTTGCGGTGTTCGAAAGGACTACCACCATATACGTGTGATTTGTATCTAATTAAATTAGCCTGGGGCGCTATTAAATGCTTCGTTACACTACATAAAGAGAGATTTGTGTTTGAATAAAGTGAAAGATGTAACAACCAATGCAATTATTTCAACAGTTACGGCAGAAAACTTCGAAAACATTCCAATTTTGAAAAACATGTTCAGTAACTGGAGAATAAATACTGGAAATAGGTTATAGGAATGGAAAATGTAATGGAAAGTTTTATCATAGAAGTCGCAGAAACTAGTGACGAAGAGTCACTAAGTGCTTGTAGCGGTGATAGTATGAGTACGTTTGATATTGATTGTGACGAATAAATATTATTATAAAATATTTTATCATTTTACTTATAATATAGGGTATATTTTTATTAATATTACTTATTTTGTTTCGTTTCAAAATAAAATTATCGATTTAAAATACATGGTACGTGATGCCAAATAACTAGAAAATTGCCATGCCGACCTGTCGCGTACGGTAGCTGTGCCCGACGGCACTAATTAAATTATTAATCGTAATTCTAGTATTAATGTGTTTTAGTGCTAGTGCTAAGGCGGCTTAAGAAAGCCATAAAGTGAAAAAAAAAACAATAATAAAAAACATGTAGTCACACTGGAGCAGTGCAGCGGGTTTACTGCTCCATAACTTTCACAGAAGTGGGAGGAGGTCTCTGCTCAGCAATGGGAAGTGGATATACTAGATGTTTTTTTTACCGTCTGAAAAAAAGAATTGGCTGTAACAGGTGAATATTTCTTTTTTATAGGATAGGGTGACAAACTAGCACACAGTCCACCTGATGGTAAGTGTTTGCTGCGGCCCATAGACATCTACATCTATCCGCGATTACAAATCAAAATGCAGATGCGTTGTCACCCATGAGGTTTAAGATGGAATGCCTCGTTTTCAGTAAAAAGGGTCTCCGGTTCTCTACACTCACCATACGAAATACATCAGCATTAAGCTACTATCTTACACTGGTATTCTGTGAGAGCGTGGTCCTTCCCCGGTCGAGCCGACTCATTCGTGCTAAAACAATACTACTGCATATATATTTATAACTAACATAACTGCAGCATGGCTCTACCACGTATAAAATAAATAAATAAATAAATATTATTAAGATGTACCTGTGTAATACGTATCGAACTGCGTATCTAAGGGTTGTTTTTTGTCGTTATTTAATAAATGCTATTAATATAATCTAGGCAAGGTTATTGTGAAGGCGCAATGGACTATGGAAAGCAAACTAGACCTGTTTGTGGCAATTCCGAAAATCCCGAGATTAGTCATGTTTCGCAAAAATAACGTAACCACCCACAACTACTTCCGTGTACTTTATTCGTCTGCACACAAAACACGATTACTCTCTAATTCAGCTTACTGTCTTGTGCTTACTGTTCTGGGATTTTCGGGCTCAGAAAAGGGCCGGGATTTCGGGATTGTATTCTTTAAGCGTGTTGGATTCTTTCCGCTCCAAAATCTTTTAGAAATATGGTGATGTCTGTGTAAACTTTAAGAATGAGGAGATGACTTTATAGCACTTATTAAGATTGGCTTTAATTAAAAAAAAACGTTTAACTTAAACTTTGGCTCATATCATTTACATAAAAACTTTTTTGCGTTTAATATATTTTGAGAAATACATATTATAATTGAAATTGTTATATGAGTTTATCCGCTTGTGAGTTTTACAAATCGCTTTGCCATCTTCAGGTGCATCATCGCTTACTATCAGGATAGTATATAATATATAGTCCAGCAATGGCATATAATAGTTAAAACGAAATCAGCAGTAATTATGAAAATACATCTAAAGAGAAGAAAAACTATCTACCTGTTTGTATCGCCAACTTCGGGTAAAGATAAGAAATTATATCGACTAAACTATTACAAAAGATTATGTTCATAGCTACACCTAAATTTTTGATGATTTTTGTACATTATAATTCGTATTTAGACAAAAGGCCTACTATTCAACTTCTATAATAGATAATCTGATGATTTAACATATATATTCTAACGATTTAACTTCTACGTTCCACCAAAATAAAAGTTTTGTATGATAGACAGGTTGATAACGTTTCACAAAATTGTTTTTTTCGACATATGTAACGATATTATAGTATGTTTCAATTAAAATTTCAACAAACTATTCAATGGACAGAAGTCATCTTCTTAGAGTTTCATTTTAATATAATAGATTACCTGCCTGTGATGTTGGATATGTCCTTTCCTTCTATGAGGTTCTTTGAAACCAAAGTCCATGTTGGGTTGTGTATGTGCTGAAACTGTGCTTGGAAACTCTTGCCTGTTAGGTTCTTGGCGTAAATTTAAGTTTGGCAATAAATCGTAGTAGTTACCATTATCTTTACTGTCAGAGCTAGTGGCCTCTACTTGGGTTTTTCGTAAGTTTGAACATATAATTTGTGGGTCATTTTCATTAAAACATTGACAGTTTATCTTGTATACATAATTTGTAAAACTGGTAGGAGGTGTCGTGGTGGAAGATTCACAAGGGCACACTATCCAGTGTCTATTAGAGTGCAATACTGACTTTGACAAATTATTTACTTTTCCTCTTGTACATTTGACTGAATTATAATTGTTATATTCATTCAGAAATGAAGCTGTCTTTCGAGTGCAAGAAGTTTTTTGATTATTTTTTCGATAATTTTTATTAGAGTATGACGTTATGGGAGGTGTTAAAGCATCATATATTTCAGTAATTACTTCAGTGTTCTTATTCATTAAATTTAAGTTTTTATGTGAATTATACTCGTGGTATCTAGGGACAGGCTTACCTCCTCTACGCAAATAATTTTCAAGGGGTTTTGAAATATTTATTGACTTTTCCCAGAATTTTAGTTGGGGATAACGTTTTACCGCAGCTGTAAATAAATTATATTCACACTTTACTGGAATATATTAATAAGTATTTTAAAAGGTTAAATAAGTAAAATCAAAAAGCATTTTGGGGTATGTAAGTAAGGCAAGAAGTCAATATTTACCTACATTCTTACCTATATTTTTTTAAAATTTCAAAAAACGGATGCTACTACGATGGCAGTCAGTAGTCCACACAACACATATAAGTACATGTTATTATATGCTTTATTTTAATAAATACACATCAATACGTAGATTATGCAGAAGTCTGAGTATTAACTGCCATTGTATAGGCGTACGTGGCCTACAAAAAGCGAATTCAGTAAAAATGGTGGTAATGCCTTCAGCCATGCTGGACCGACTGTTGGTATATCAAAATACTGTAGTAAGCTGAATTAGAGAGTAATCGTGTTTTGTGTGCAGACGAATAAAGTACACGGAAGTAGATGTGGGTGGTTACGTTATTTTTGCGAAACGTAACTAGTGAAGGTGTCACTTGTTTCAACGATTGTGATTTTAGTAACAAGCAATTTTTGAATTCTGTTTGTTACAATGATGTAAGTAGAAAAAGTATCACCACTTTTATGTAAATATTTCTGTTTCCTTCGAAACGAAAATATCAAGTTACGTTATTTATCACAAGCTTTACCTACGTTTTGTGGTTTTATAGCAATATCATAAACATTAAATGTATAATGTGTTGTATAATTATTTTAAAATGAAAACATACATGGAATAATTTTAATGAATAAAGGAATAATACGGGAAAAGTTCATTTCATTGTATATAATATGCAATGATTTACAATATTTGCATTAAACTATTTTATTTAACTTTACTTTACATATTTAATTTTTTTAACTTCACACTATGAAAATCATTGATTTAAAATAATCGGAAAGCTATTAGATTCACCACGGTTTTCGAAAATTGAGTTCTCATCAGATCTCCACATTTTGAGATCCTAGGAAGGCGTTCTGACTACTTCTACGAGGATGTCACTATATTATGTGTGTGTGTGTGTGTGTGTGTGTGCGTGTGCGTGTGCGTGTGCGTGTGCGTGTGCGTGCGTGCGTGCGTGCGTGCGTGCGTGAGTGCGTGCGTGCGTGAGTGCGTATGTGCACGTATATGCGCGTGTGTATGGATCTCTCTCTCATTTATCTCCCATAACTTTTGAATGGCTTCACCGATTTTAATGAACTTGGCGGTGTTCGAAAGGGCTTCACCAAAATTGATTTCCAATTTTATTGGAACCGATTCGGACCAGTAGATTTTGAGAAATCTCAAAAATAAAAAAGTATTTAAATACAGAACTAAAGTGCAAAATCTATCCAGCTGCTGAAAGGATTAAGACATCATACAATAAGAGATCACTCATTTTCGACTTGCCAAACATATGGTTATTATACCAAGGTCGCTGGACGATTCCTCTATCAGACTTCAATGGTGTCTCAAGGCGGGTTGGTTACGAAAATGTCACTCTTATGATTGATGAATGACACTTACTGTACGTAGCGGCACGAAAATAAGGTATCATGGTAAGCGGGTCGCGATGCAGGAGTGCGTATTACTGATCGGCTTTGATATCATTCGCACGTGCTGATTGGCTACTGCTACTTACGTACGGCTGCGGCTATTGGCGTACTGATACGACATGCGCAGCTATCCCCTCCACGTTTTGTTCATGCTAGACTTACGTGCCGCAATTTTTACCTTATTGTTTATTTATTGATATGATTTTACCTACCTGTGCGTAACTGCCAATTTTAATAAATTTGTAATTGTAAACTTATAAGTTTGATTTCGATCAAGAGGTTAATCGACAAATTAAATCCTGCGAGGCAGCCATTGGCAAAATACTACTAATGTTCGGAACATAAATGTGCAAAACTAGTGCTTGTGTGTTGCTGACCGGACCTGACAATCGAGATGTGGCCTTTTTCCGCTGGCTCAAAAAGCCTTTGTAATATTTAGGTGAAGGAAGAAGTTTCTACTTTAAAATTAAAACAAAACTGTAATAATAAAAGTAATTTCATACCATGTGTATTGTTCGAAATAATTGATGAATTTCTGTCGCTTTTAATATTAATGTTATTTGTTCTCTTGTTGTGCCAATCAGTACTATTGGAGAAGTCAATAATTCTTAGTAAGCTACTCACTGGAGAAGATTGCGAAGTGAACTTTATCGCTAGAAACAAAGATATTTAGTTTTTAATGTTAAAATTATTTTTTGAGTAATTAATAATGGATAAATAATTGACAATATTAACCGTTGTTTTTAAAAGAATAAGTACAAAGACCCTTATACAAAGAATCCGGTAGCAAGTTGTCAGAACATTGCGTTGCTGGGTATCCAATGGCATAAACAGGTTTTCCATGAATATTCCCTTTAGGCGCAAAGTTACATACAAGTCTTGTGATTATTGTGTTTAAAGTTTTTGTCTAGAAAATTGTACGATATTTTACTTTTAAATTATTTTTAAGAAAAAAAAAAGTAAGAAACAATGTTTACATAGAAGCTTGCTTGTCCACATCCGACCATTTCCGTGTTTGCCCAAATCAGTTGAGTGAAATATTTGCTTTTCTCGTCAGATCTGTATTGGTACAGAAAATAAAACGTGAGAATATACTGAGCAAATTTTTATTATTCATTCATTCATTACAGCCTATCGAAGTCGATAGCTTTCTCTCATAGATAACCCCATAGGAATTGAGATGATTTAAGATGTATTTTATCAAACGAGACAACTGACGAGATTTTCTTAGAGTTGGGGGACAAGATAGACAAGTTACGTTGAGATATTACAGAATTATCGCGAGACCAGAGATAGAGGTATGATATGATTATTTTTGAATATCAGAGTGTTGGGGAATGGAACCCAAAACCCAAATACGAGTACTAGTAATTGACTTAAAGGAGAAGAAAGAGCTCTATATGAATCAATTTGTTCGATTGTTGAACATTAACATAAACTTAGAGAGGTCCTATTTAATAAAGTCTACAGACGTGATTTTACAACCGATGATTAAGATATCTCACAGCCAACAATTTTACTGGTTATTCATATCCCTCTTATCGAAAAAAAGTAGCATGTTTTTTATAGAATGGGGGTGAAAAACGAGCACGCAGTCAGCACATTTATCTTCGATAAAGAATCAAAATGTAGATGCGTTGTCACCCCTGAGGACTACGATGGAATGTCTCGTTTCCAGTAAAAAGGTTTTCTCGATCTCCACGCTAACCATACGCCGAAACACAGCAGCATTAAGATGCTATTTCATACAATACGTACATCTTCTCTTCTCTCATCTCTACTGTTGCATCTCTTGGCTTGGCGTCAGAAATAATTAAGAGGGTGGTACCTAACAAGACGTTCTCCTAGGCACAAAAGGAGTCTAACTAACTGTTAAAGTGAATTGTTTGGGCAATTTTTGGAATTGTGTCCAAAATATTCAATAAAAAATTGTTTAGTGACGATCTTACATGTGAAGATTAATTAATAAATTTAACAATTAATAAAGTTTTTATATCATTTACATACTGATTGTAATAGGACACTCTTCCGGAATAATATAACGACTGCATAAACCACGTATCAACAAAGTTCTTTATATTGAATTCTGGTGATAAATCTGACATCGTAGCTATATTTTGTCCGACTTCCGTTGTTTCTGTAATCATTTTAAAAAGAGTATGAGTAAATTTTATAGTTTTAAAGTAAGGTAATTCTAAAAAAAATTTTTTTTATAGAATAAGGGTGACAAACTAGCAAAAATTCCTGCTGGTAGTAAGAGGGCGCTATGGTACATAGACTTATAGATAGACACACTCACACAGACAGCTATGTATACCTGCCATTTTATACGTGGTTACGCTGCAGCTATATTATGGTTGCAGAATGTGTGGGTTGACTCGACCGCGTATTCACAGAGTACCAGCGTAAAATAGCAGCATAATACTGCTGTGTTTTATATGGTGAGTGTAATGAACCGGAGACTCTTTTAACTGGAAACGATCCATTCCATCTAAGTCCTTAGGGGTGGGGCATCTGTATTTTGATTCTGATTTGAGGATAAATTTAGATGTATGTGGGCCACAGCATCTACTTACTATCAGGTGGACTTCGTATTCGTTTGCCACCCTACTCTATAAAAAAATCAAGAACTAAAGGGCTATGACATCAGGACGTCAAACACCTAATTCCCATCGTCGGAAGTTAAAAATTAAACGTGTGGCGAGTTTTATATTTTATATTTTAATTGTTGAAAATGCAAAAATGCTCATATTTTATGTTAGTTGTTAATGATGAATGTAAATAAAAATGCCTAAATTTTGTAAAATTTAATTGATAAACCATATATTATGTAAATAAATTAATTTATGTACAAGCAGACAAGCGCCGTGCACTTTTATGTATATGCACAACGAAGAATGCGAAACTGGTTCGGTCGTTAGGCCGCGCCTTCGGGGCAACGAGATCGCCAGTTCGTCCGCTTCCGCTCATGCAAATCTATTGTTAACCTGAGACCCGCGCTTACGCAGTTCGTATTGCTAAATTCTATAATAATAATAATAATAATAAAAATTCTCTTTCTCTTATTGTACTGTGTTCCTGTCTTCTCATCGTACCTTCTATATTGTGCTGTTGCTAGACTGTAATTACTGTGTGTACCAGCACAATAAAAAAAGATAAGTGTGAAAATAGACTATCATTTTATCACCCACCATACACACTTACAAACGCAAATAATTCCGTAAAGTTAGTTTCATTTAATGGATAATGTTCGCGCAAATATAAGAAACCATTATTGATGAGAGGGTGTGGCGAAAAATTATATGATACTTGGTGCATATACTGTGGAATTAAAAATAATAAAACTCTCATTTTTAAGTTGTTCAAAAATCTACCCTCAGGGTCTTAAAATGAGGGTGCAAAAGTTTGTATGAAAAATATTGTATTAAGTTTTAGAAATCTATAATTTAGACATAGCTGTTTTTATGATGGAGGAAATAGCAAAGATTTAAATAGTTAGATGCGCCTTGACCTCGAAAAACTGTGGCATTATTTTGGAATGTGTGCGTTTGTAAGACGCTGACGCGCGTACACTAATGCTTGCGCAATACGGTCATATATGGCCAACGCTACCACGGCATTTCCATCTGTTTATGTCTATTTATAAATGATCCCTTTGTAAACCGCTTCCTTGGTACATTCGAGTATCTAACTAAATTGGTTATTAGAAGAGTACTGAGACGATAGTGTTATCTCTTATTATCTTACGGAAATTGTGTATACTACTTTCTCTGTCGCACAGTTTTCGTTTGTCCGTAATTATTTCGTGGTATTTTTTGACATCGGAATAAAATAAATTCAATATTTAGTAAAATATAGATACTTGTGAGTGAAATGTTACATCTTGGGCTTTATTTGTGTTTCTAGAATTATTATTGCACTTTAAAGATGCACACGATGGCATTCTGAAAGTTTTTTTTTGGTGAAATTAGCGCGTTAGTTTCAGTGTGCAACGTCTGGCTGTCACCACGCACAAATGAGCACTGATTGTGAGTGAGTGAGATCACTCATTTGAGAATGAACTCATTTGGCACATTTCGGAGTGGTTATACTATGGTAAGGGTGCATCTAACTATTTAAATCTTTGGGAAATAGCATGTTAGTTTTTGTGAAACTTTTTATTTTTCAAGGCGACTGCCTCGAGACTTCCTACGGACCAATAAATACTTTCAGTTTTTGAATATTAATTTTTGGTTTAAAATTAATAAAATTAGTAAAATTTATAAATCAAAAATAATATTCAAAAACTGAAGGTAGTCGGGCTAACCAATGATATTATAAGTTCTTATAATATCATTGGAGCTAACTATGACATTGGGATGACAAACATCTCAGTCCACCCCGTGACTATGGGTGCTGTAAAGCGCCTGAAATGTCGAGAATCAAAAATAAGTAAAAATAAGTTATTAAACGCGATAAAGTCCGTAAATATAATTTTATTCAATGTGTAGTGTTCGCGTAAATTTGAAAAAACCATTACGGTTTACACTGTCATTTAGATATTTTTTTACGGAAGCTTAGTATGTACAGTCCAAGTTATGAAAAACTATTTAATAGTAGAGAAAGTTCAATATTGTGTTATTAAGTTGTCAAAAAATAGATATTTAGGCGCTTACATCGCTGGCTAAACCTTAAGAGATACATCAAAATGATGTACTAAAGAATCGTAGTTCTTCAAAAAGTCTAGAGCATAAGATATCTAAGCCATATGATGATATATAACAATAAATAAACGTTATAAAATAAATATAATATTATTTTATAGAAGAGGGGGCAAACGAGCATGCGGCTCACCTGATGTTAAGTGACTACCGCCGCCCATGATCAACCGCAACACCAGGGGAATTGCAGCTGCGTTGCCGGCCCTTTAGAAAGGAGTAAGCTCTCTTAGCTAGAGCTAAAATATATTCGATAAGCTCTAAATCGATCGAACAGCGCTTTTTTAAACATAAATGGCACCACATGTAGAGAAGCCAGGGCGAGTTGCAAGTCTTTAAACAAATGGGTTGAAAAATCTACATTGAATATTTTGAAAAGAGTGCCATTAAAGAAAGTGTAGGAAAAACATAACCTAATTAATAATTTTGAACAGATTTTTACGTGGGGCCATGCTGCAGCTATACTATGGTTGTAGCGCGAAAAGATAATGCTACTGTGGAGAGGTGGCAGAACTGGATACCCTTCTACTGGAAACGAGACATTTCATCTTAGTCCTTAGGGGTGATGACTCTTCTGCATTTTGATTCTTAATTGAGGTTTGATGTAGATGTCTATGGGCTGTATCATCAACTTTGTATCAGGTGGACTGTGTGCTCGTTTGTCACCCTTATTCTATAAAAAAATGCTAAATGGGTAATATTACAGGAAATCTATTTAGGTGGATATTATTAATTTAATGGTTATTTACTGCATTCTGCGTAGACACATTGAGGATTCTAAAATTTTCATAACTCGTATATAAATTATATTATTTTAAGAAGGCTAAATTGTAACTATAGGGGAAAAATAATCTACTGGTAAGTTTTTTTTGCCGCTTCTTTTCACAAGATTGCCCACAGTGGAGATATGAGGAATCGATAGTGTATGTAGCTTTCTTGACTTGCAAAAATGAAAATTCCAAATGTATCCTATACTATTAAACGAGCAATTCTTGTTATATATATATATATATATATATATATATATATATATATATATATATATATATATATATATATATATAATCGGCATCTCGTAAACGGCTCCAACGATTTTCATAAAATTTAGTGTCCAGGGAGTTTCGGGGATAATAAATCGATCTAGCTAGGAATTATTTTTAGGAAATGTCTTTTTGTCCCTGTTTTTAGGCAATGAAAAACTGCTACAATATCGTCAGAATAAGAAGGTAAATTTTGACAGGTTGTTAATGATTATAAATAGCTTAATTGGTACGAGGGCGGAATTGAAAAGTACTCGGCCTAACCAAGAAAATAAACACATACTAAATCAGTTATATTTTTATTTTTCTACATAATCACCATCAAGTTCAATACACTTTTGCCACCTCCCCTTCCAAGCATTTAGACCGTTGAAAAAAAATGATTCTTCCTTAGAGTCAAAATATGCGTCTACAGCTGCTTTGACCTCATCGTTGGTCGAAAATCTTTGACCTCCCAAGTACTTTTTTAGGTTAGGGAACAGAAAGAAGTCTGATGGTGCCAGATCAGGTGAATACGGCGGATGCGGTAACAGTTCAAAGCCACAGTTATGAATTTCAGCCATTGACTGTACTGACGTGTGAACACGGGCGTTATCTTGATGAAACAGGACTTTTCTTCTGAGCATTCCTCGACGTTTTTCTTTTATTTCCTCTCGTAAACGACGTAGTAAGGTGCAGTAGTAATCAGAGTTTATAGTCTGACCCCTTTCAAGATAATCAATCATAATCACACCTTTCGAGTCCCAGAATACTGAAGCCATCACCTTATTTGCCGACAAAATCGACTTAGCCTTTTTTAGGGGATGGTGAACCAGGTCTTCTCCACTGTTTTGATTGTTGTTTTGCTTCCGGTGTACAGTAATGAGCCCATGTTTCGTCCATAGTAATAAAACGATTCAAAAAATCATCTGCATTGGCTTCAAATAACTCCAAACAGTCGCGTGAAATAGTCAATCGCGTCCTTTTTTGTTCAACTGAAAGCAGTCGCGGAACCCACCTCGCAGACACCTTGTGGAAACCCAACTCGTTGACAATGATGTTTTGAGTTCGTTCATAAGAGATGCCTATAATCTCGGCTATCTCTCTAATTTTTAATCTGCGGTCTACCATTATTAAATCAAGTACTTGTTTAATATTTTCGTCAGTAGTTGACATCGAAGGCCTTCCAGAGCGGGGTTCATCTTTCACACTCTCTCTACCACGCTTAAATTCTGCTATCCATTTTTTGACGGATGAATATGACAGAGCACAATCGCCTAATGTACTGACCATGTCATCATGGATGGCTTTTGATGATAGCCCCTTCTTATGGAGGTACTTAATGACAGCACGCTGCTCGATTTGCTCCATTCGCGGAAATTATGTCCGATTACTTTGTTAATAAATTTATAAATTCACAACTAATTATCGCACACGTTTCGAACTACACATAATGAACTAGTCTGAACTGAACTAAATAATGTGGGTAGATTTGATTTTTAGAACTGAATGGATCTGTGTTAGGCCGAGTACTTTTCAATCCACCCTCGTATAATGGGCGGTCACAGAATCGTAAAACCCCGGTTCGAGCCTAGACCGACGACCGACTTTATTTAATTAATTTTTTTTTCAAGTTCCTTTCTTTTTTGAGAAAATCTATTTTTTCGAGCCCTTTTTTTAGTATTTTTTAAAAACACAAAAATTTAAATTAAAGTAATTGCACTCATGATTTTTTATTCAAATAACCAGTTCCGTTTTTTCTGTTATGTCACTAAGATCAAAAAAATATTATTTATATTTCATCAGTATGTAATTTGTATCTAAATATAATTTCCAAAACACACGAATTAAAAAAAAATCGAGCGATAAATACCGAGCAAAGCTCGGTCAACCGGGTACTAAAAGATAATAAAAGTAGAAATAAATTTGTCTTTGACGTTGATTAAAAATCTAACATAAAAAATAAAACATGTGAAGTTAGCTAACACTCATTAGGGCAGTGCGGCGAACTCTTTCTTTCTCCTAAAACTTTCCCAGAAATGAGAACAAGATAGAGACAGAGAGAACAGATGGGCAGCTGCAACGTACATAGTATGTTGTTCGTTTACTTTTGTATCTATTTTGTTATTATTTCTCAGTTCACGAATACACGATGACGTCGAACATTTTTTATGACATAAGAAAGTTATGTTTTCCTATGTTTTCATATTATATACAAGTTGGTACATAAAAGTGTATTGCGTTTAAATGAAACGGGGTGAAGTACGTAAGTTAAAGTACGTAAGTTAGTTCTCTTACGTCACTATCACACGGCACTTTTTTAGCTTTTCACTTACCAAGATTACGACAATCATCCTCTTTGTCTGGACGTGTTGAAGGATCACATTGATCTACCCATCGCTGAGCAAAATTTGCTAGCTCATCGGACCAAACCTTGAAAAATAATATTTATAAAATTAAAATATATAATTAAACAATTTTTAACCAACAACTTTTGTGAGTGAACCAAAGAGCTTAAGATTAAAAAATAAACTTTTGATAATAAGTAAAAGTTGGACTTCAAATAAAATTCAAAGTCAAAGTCAATAAAAGAAGTCGGTGATAAGGCATAGTGTATAGAGAGCAGAATTAAATCACCACGTAGTGGCGGTGTAAGAAAACCCACATGTTATCATGGATATATCAGACCATATCGTGGATGTGGTAAGAGGTCGCCTCTGGAGGGCAATGAAACAGATATAGACAGTAACATCTTCCTGATAACAAAACAGAACAATAAAAAACTGTGACTCCCAACCAGCCTAACCTACATTTAACAAAACAACAAGCAGTTCTTTGTGGCGATTATAACATAACATAGTGTTATAATGTTCTGTTCTTTGTGGCGATTATATAAACAATAATAACATAAAAAGCATAATGCTGCTGTATTTGGTTTAGGTTAGGTGAGTGACAAGAAGCGGAGACCTTTACTGGTAACGAAGCATTCCATTTTAAGTTTCCAAAAGTGACAACGCATTTGCATTTTGATTTTGTATGGAATGTGGACTGCTTACTTGTTTTTCAATATAATATTCAATATAAGGCATTAAAACCCGTTATTTTATACAGGGTGTCCGGTTTCCGATGTCCGATACTTTAAGGGGTTAAAATACAATTAATTTTATCTACAAATCAGGGATCAATGATTTTTTTCGCCATCAATAAAAAAATGGCAGCACTTTAAAAAAAATTGTTTGCGAAGCATAGATGCTTGTATTAATTTAACAATATCTACCCAAATAGAAGACTTTCAAAAACAAAATTGGTCTCAAATGTTAGTTAATAGTGTAGACAATAAATCTAGATTCAAAATATTATTTTTTAATTTTTCAGTATTAGTAAAAAACATTTTTGAAAAAATAAATTAGACAACAAATTGATGTTGTTTTTCACATTCTTAGCTTTAAAAAAAAACCATCGTGTTAACCAATTTTTTTTACTTGTTTTGTACTGTTACAGCGATATGCTGGCTTGAGTACTCGTTCATTGTAATAAACAAAAAGTAACAGTTTAACAACAAAACAAAAACGTAACAAAGTCTAACAACAAACAGTAATTATGTACAGTAAGTAGATTTACTTAAAACCAGGAATGTTATCACAACGCAGAGAGAGGGACGACTGCTCGACGGCACAAGCGCACACTGCACCCTTTTTACCTGGAGGCAGCCGTTATTCTGTCTCGCTCGCACTGTTGTGCACAGCGTTTTTTACCTGCTCACACAAGGGATGCTATTGTGCTTGCTTACGATTCCTTAAATTATTGAAGAATTTTATCTTACTCATTGGAATGGGTGTTTAGTTATCTAATATCGGGGTAGAGGCACTTTGAACAGTTACATTCAAATTATCATAGCTCCTAAACTATCTAACTCAGAGTTAAGATTTAAATGTGCATTTATAGCAAATATCCTGTATTATAATAAAAACAAGTAAAAAAAATTGGTTAACACGATGGTTTTTTTTTAAAGCTAAGAATCTGAAAAACAACATCAATTTGTTGTCTAATTTATTTTTTCAAAAATGTTTTTTACTAATACTGATAAATTAAAAAATAATATTTTGAATCTAGATTTATTGTCTACACTATTAACTAACATTTGAGATCAATTTTGTTTTTGAAAGTCTTCTACTTGGGTAGATATTGTTAAATTAATACAAGCATCTATGCTTCGCCAACAATTTTTTTTAAAGTGCTGCCATTTTTTTATTGATGGCGAAAAAAAAATCATTGATCCCTGATTTGTCGATAAAATTAATTGTATTTTAACCCCTTAAAGTATCGGACATCGGAAACCGGACACATTGTATAAGATATTACGACGAGGTATTTTTATCCAGTCTTTGAGGTATTCAGAGATCCAGATTCTAGATTTTTAGCCATTTCATCTCACTTTTTACTAAAGCTTCTTTGGAAAACGTGATATGTGAGCCTGTCACCTAAGCCAACGCTTTTTTTTTATAGGATAGGGTGACAAACGAGCACACAGTCCACCTGATGGTAAGTGGTGGCTGTGGCCTATAGACATCTACATCTATCCTCGATTACGAATCAAAATGCAGATGCGTTGTCACCCGTGAGGACTAAGATGGAATGCCTCGTTTCCAGTAAAAAGGGTCTCCGGTTCTCTGCACTCACCATACGAAACACAGCAGCATTAAGCTACTATTTCACGCTGGTATTCTGTGAGAGCGTGGTCCTTCCCCGGTCGAGCCGACCCATTCGTGCTACAACTATACTACTAATATAACTGCAGCATGGCTCTGCCACGTAAAACTTCACGGAGATTGCCCCATAAGGGGCGTATTTGTCATATTACGTTCTACGCTTGGCTGGTGGGACATGCGTTTGTATGTAATCATTACCATAACTATAACAATACCATATGCATTTATTATGTTTTCACACTTCAGTATAAGCATAGCTTTTGACTGCCTCGTTGGTCTAGTGGTAGTAGTGGTGCGACTGCTGATCATGAGGTTCTGAGTTCGAATCCCGGGTCGGGCTAAAAAATCAATTATTGAGTTTTTCGTCAAAAAAATTCTTAGTAATTGCCCGGAGTCAGAAAGTTGGTGGCGTCTCACCCACGTGCCTCGGAAAACACGTAAAGCCGTTGGTCCTGCGCCTGATCTCTCTCCAGTCGTGTCGGTTTACCGTCCCATGGGATTATGAGAGTGGGGGAATAGAGAGTGCACCTGTGCTTACGCGTACACTTGGGCACTATAATCCTGTCCTGCGCCGTTGGCTAGCCTCCGTTGAGGCAGGCAGCCGTGGCCGAAATTCGGTCTGGAGGACATTATTATTATAAGCATAACATTTAAAAAAAGTCTTACCAGCTTTTTCATATTTGCCGCTCCCGGTAGATACTTCGATAAACCTAAGGCTATAAAATTTCTTCTCTCATTAATTTTATTTAGGATTGATTCAATGTCTCCCTGTGTTAACAATTTATTTTTATCATATTTGATGCAAGAAATACTTGGCCCTTCCATCTAGAAAGTGAAGAATAAGCAGTCTGCTTTAATTGATTTCTATATTCAGAATTGCTATACATGTACATAGTGTTAATTAATAAATTCTTACTGGATATTTGCAGAGAATATGGTAGGGACATACTTTACAGTATTCTTGTAAGGAAGCATACAAAATATTTGCATAAAATAAAATTACAAGCAATTTGCCTCTTGTCATATTGAAACAGATGTAAAATATAATTTTGACGCATATATGTAGAAGGGTAATGGAATTATCACGGCCGTAGAGACTTGTAACGTTGTACGTTTATCTAGGTTATGTCAGCTATAATGGATTATTTTATTTGCATTGGTTATGTTTTTTATGTTTTATGTTATATTTATAATCAATATATGTTTTTTGAATGCTAGAAATTTAGTTTTGGGAGACACCGAGAACTCACACTGGATTTACAAAATTGGTAAAACAAACGTTACAACCGAAAAGCAAAATGGTAATAAATATAATTTACGTGACTTAATATACTGTTTATTTGTCTGAATACAATAAATAACTAAATTTTATGATTTAAGTTACACTACTTCACACACACAGTAAATTATATTATTGCCTTGTACCTACATAATAAACTATGTTTCAGGTTCTATTATCAAAAACTTTGAAAATAAAAAGATTTTACAGCAAACATATTTGAAGATGATAGAAAAAAGAAATAAAAGCCCTAATTTAAAATCAAACATATTTGATAAAATGTTGTCAAATGAAATGTTATCAATACAACAATATTTATACAAAAAAGAACCGCAAACTTCACTAATACATATTACTGCTGGAAACAACGCTCCGACTCCGACACTTGAAGTAAAACAAAGATGGTCAGTTATGAATCTATTGTCTAATATGCCAAGTGAGCAACTTCATGTAACATCCCATGTAAAATTTAATGATAATAGTGCAAACGAAGCTGCTCATGATATGCATTCTCTTCCTTGTAAAGATAAGGTTGTCGGTCTCAGGAGTTTGTCTGATATTACACCAAAATTAGAGAGATCGATAAGTTTACAAAATATGAAATTATGTACATGTATGAAAACGAATCCACATACAACATGTACTCATCGATGTAGAGGATTTAGCAAGCAATTAGCAAATTTAGAAACGTTGAAAAACAATAGAGATAATTTTTGCTCTAGAACTATAAAAAGGACTCCTGTACCAGACTCTGATTCTCCGTTTTATGCTTCATACCAATCATATTTAACCGATAGTTTTACAAATGTTCCTTTTACTTTTTACTATCCATTGATAATAAATGAACTCACTACAAAAAAATCCAAACATTTTAAAAAGAAAAAACCATACAAGGAAGATTTATATTATGATAATGATTTTAATACGGATACGTTCAAAGAAGATTATTTTTATGATGATTATTTAGAAAATAATGATTATAGGGTAAATATTAATAAATTTTCAAACAAAAACAAGCCATTTAAAGATCAAAATGTTGTTATTAATTTAGAGTATGAAGAAAATGAAAGGTTGAAAGGTGTAGACAATTTGGACGATATATTGGATAAAGGACTAATTCAAATCCCCAATAAAAATGAATTTGCTGACGAAATAATCAGTGACCTAAAAAAACATTATAGTGATGTTATAGTAAAGGACTGTTATTGTTCTTCTTCTATTATTAATGTTGTCGGTTCTGTACAGTGTTTTATATGTTATATTTGTGTTATGATTTATCTTAAGATATGTATATAATGACATGTCAATTCAAAATTTTATGAAAGAATACTACATAAACTTGAATAAATATAAAATTATGAAAATAGTTTTGGGTTCAAATATACCTATCTACTAATTCAACTATTAGTTATGCGCCAGAAGAAAATGGACAGCTTTTTTAATTAGTTCTATTTATTTATTTTATTTTGTTCTTTATTGCATCCTTAAGGTAAATGAATACGATGAGCGGACTTAATGCCTTGAGGCATTCTCTACCAGCCAACCCATGGTGGTGTGTGTGTATGGGTTTTTATGGATCGTTTTGCGTAAATCGGACCAAAAACTAATATTCAAAAACTGAAGGTAGCCGGATTAACTATGACATTGGGACGTCAAACATCTCAGTCCCCCCCGTGACCATGGGTGCTGTAAAGCACCCGAAACGTCGGGAATTAAAGATAAGTAAAAGTAATGAAATAAACGCGATAAAATCCGTAAATTTAGTTTTATTCAATGTGTAGTGTTCGCGTAAATTTAAGAAATCATTATATCAGCGTTTAGCTACACGTACCATCTGATTACACCTATTCCTGGCTGCTTTAAATAATAACCAATTTTCTTAAATATGATCTCGTTTGTAACAAAGAAAAACACGATTTGGTCTAGACACTGCCATCCTTACGCCCTTTGTCATCCATGTAGCAGAAGCACACTTCAATCTGACCTTGTGAATTGGAGCATGAGCATAATAAAGGCTAAGAATATTGTGGTTAAGAATAGAGACTTTATCGTCAACAGTAGGTGCTGAAATTAAACAGTCTAGATCAAGATTAAGAGCTTCATTCTTAAAGTTGTCAAAGTCTATTTCAGTAAAGCTGCGAAGATGCATTACAGTAGGGGAATATTTAGGAGGTTTAAGCTTATACGAAGCATAAATCAAGTCGTGGCGTGAGATATCCAAAGCGGGTAACTGTCCATGCATCATCAAATGTTCAGGAGAAGCAGCAAGGATTAGATCAATTAATAAGTCATCAGTTCCGATATTGTGATTTAAATTTTCAAATTCAAAATCAAATTCAAATTTTCTGATATTGTGCCTTAAAAGAGAGAATAGAAAGATTAACCGACCCAATAATTGATATAAGCTTTTTGGATCGAGTGCAGTTTTTCAACAGATCAGTATTTAAGTCACCAATGACTATACAGTGTGTGTACTCAGAACAAATATCAAAAAGAGTCATATCTAAAGTTGTGAAGTAGTCGGTAGAAGGGGGGCAATACACTACCCTTATAAGCTTCCTGATGTAATTCACATCGCGGTCCACAAATAAAAGCTCAGAAGAAGCGGAATAAGGAAGGAAAAATTTTTCTTCCTTTCCAATGGGCTACCCGAGAAATTGTACAATTGGAGCACCAGTTTTCTTGATGATCGGAGCGAAAGGTTGTTGTAGACAGTACATGCTCTGATTACAACCCTATTAACGCTGATGATCCACAAGGCTGCGTAATATCACCAACGCTATTTCTTCTGTATATCAATGATATGTTGCAAACTGGTAATATTCATTGTTATGCGGACGACAGCACTGGTGATGCTTTGAACACCAGCTGAGCCAATATTTTTCGCGAAAACGCTGAGCACCGGAACAAACTTGTGTCTGAAACAAACTTGTAACTAAATTTAGTCCAGTTCAATCCCCATAGGACATAAGTTTGCGCGTTTACCGCTTAAAAGTACCCATTTGTCGTATCTCCTCTGTTCTACCTCAGCTAGCATCGGAATCCTCGGCGTCGACATAGTAATTAAAGCTATAGAATTGAGGCCATTAAAATATTAGGGTTGACTTTGAATGATAGAGTGATAAATTGTGTGATAAGAGAAAAATGTGGTTTTCAAGATTTTGTGACCAGGATTATTAAGGGAAACCACCGAGGGTTTGAATACATAGAGAAACTAAATGAAGAAATAGGGACAAAGCAAATTTAAGCTGCAGGACTGAGTGAGTGGAAGAGTCAGCAATGGTTGCAAGTTAATAAGTTAAGCAAGTTAGTTTTCATAATATTGCAATAAACGTTTAAAATTACAGAAATATACAAAAAATCTTGAAATAAATTTAAATACTTTAATGACAATTTGAATTTATTGAACGTTGCCAAACAACCAAGACAAGCTCAGATATATATTATTAAAATATCAGGTAGAAATTCACTTAAACCCGTATTACATTCAAAATATCAATGTTGAAGTGTAGTAATTATTAAAATAAAACTGGAATAGGTATTTCCAATTTTTTTTTCATAGTCACAGACAGTGGCTTTTTTGCGGACGGTGACCAGCGGCGAACGCAGTCCGGACGCGACTTCCTGGTGGTGGGTGAGAACTATATTAATAATATACTAGGAAGTCCTATCCTTGACCATGCCGTAGAGAAAAAGCTCAAAAAATAATCAGGTTCTTTTCTGAATAATCTAATTTCTTTTAGTTACCACCTGTTAAAGTCCTGTATGTTTTCGACTTAGATAAGATAAGACAAGATGTTTTATTTGTTGGAATATGGTACATTACAGCTGTTACAAATTACTTATTAATTACTTATGATAGAGTTTTAGAGATTTAAAGCCCCCAAAGCGAATTGTATTGTTGAGACTCGACCAAGGTATTTTTTGTGTTAAAAAAATTATCTCAACACCAAAATATTCTCCAGTGCCGTGGAAGCGTTTTACATACATAAATTACATTTATATGGAGAACATCCAAATGAAACATTTTTACGATTTTAATAGGTATAAGATTTAAGCACCGCGGGCTAAAATGTTAAATATACTAAATATATGTACATATTTTAGTAAAAGATATTAGAATCATGTTTCTACATTTTTTTAGCTGAAAGTTTATTTTTTCCCCTACAAGCCTAGATTATGATTCTTCTAATTAATATTATAAACGATGTTCATTTAACCCGTGAAAGGTTTAGACGAAATTAGACCTAGAGTATTTTAAGCATTAGAAAATGTTTTTTCCCGAGACGAGCTACTCTTTATAAGATAAATATTTTATGTTAGCAAAATGTACCATAAAAATATGGACCAAAAATGAAGATAGTGAAGTTAGCGAACTAAGGAAGATATGTATGGAATGTTTTGTAAAAATAAAACATGATTAAAAAAAATGTTAAAGTAAACTTCAACAAACGAAAAGGAATAAAATAATTTATGTTCTGGAGTCGTTGCTGACATAATTATGTGTGTAGAAAAAATTCGAGTAGACCGACCCGACAGAATCAATTATTAATTTTTGAAGCCAATTCTACTTTTTATTCAAAGTTTAATTATTTCACTCTTTTGAGTGGTCTAAGAAGTATCATAAGTTCAAGGTAACAACTTAAAACATACATTATTTTAATGTTTCTTCATGCTCCATTTTTCCATCTTTATGGATGGATATATTTCTTAGAGTCATACAGTATTTGTATATTTAATAAAATTTTTACTCTTTATATAATAAAAAATATTGAAATGATTGAGCCGTTTCCGCGAAATCGGTGAACTTATTTTAAATTTCTCATTTTTTAACTCTGTAAGTGAAACTCATATTCATACAGTATATCAATAGTCCATTGCTGAACATAGGCCTGCCCATAAATTTGTCCCATAGGGAGGATTTTTGCCATAGTTGACACGCTTTGCAGGCGGGTTGGCATGTAAAAAAAAAAAAATATATATATATATATATATATATATATATATATAATATTTGGAGTTGTTATCAGAAGGTAAGGATTTTCTATACGTATCCAATGGCTTAGGTTATTTGATTTAACACATTGTTTTTATTTAAAATGATAAAATAAATTAATTCATTTTAATAATTCCGATTTGCTAGAATTTTTAAGTAAGCGTTAAGTATATTCCTAGGAGCAAGGTTACAGGCTCAAAGTTTTTATACAAAAACGGCAGCTTCTGTTTTTCGAAATATTGTTTCTGGTTTATCATTACACACCATTTCTAGTTAGCTTTTTATATTAATTTGCTAGGTGGTTGGATTCTTATTTAAGTTTAGAGTTATTTAATTTAAGTATTTTCATTTAAGTTAGAAGCAGAGTGACCGACATAGCCCAACGCATTAGTATGCTGAAGTGGCAGCATGGGCAGGCCATATAGCTCGAAGAACCGGCAACCGATGGGGGAAAAAAGGTTCTCTATTGGCAGCCCCGTACCAGTAGGCGAAGTATAGGCTGATCCCTCACTAAATGGAGTAACGACCTCTGGTAAGACATGCAAGAAATCAATGGATGCAGGTGGATTAGGACCGTGCTTTGTGGCATTCCTTGGGGCAGACCTATGTTCGGCAGTGGAATTTGGAGGGGTTGTAATGATGATGATGATCATGATTTAATTTAATTTTTGGGAGCGTTTATATCTAAGGTTTTTTTGTATTTGGTAACATGCAAGTTCTGATGTCTAGTATTCGCAAAAAATGAATATTTAATGTAGGGATTAATTACATTATCACTGACGAATAACGGAAACATGTTGGTATTATGGTCCGTTGATAAAGCAATTTGAAAGTCTAATACGACTTTGCGATATGTATTTTTTATGTATGGGTACCTTTCTACCGTTTTTATGATTACGCTATTAACATCTAATATTTCGAAATAAAATTGAATTGATACACATAATAAATCTGTAGTCAATTTCTTTGTATATCAATGTTTGTAATTCTTACTTTTTTATCATATAAAGGATACTGGAACTTGAATTTTTGTCAGTCTGTCCGTCAGTATAACACATGGCTGCCCCGTTGGTCCAGCGGTCGTATATGTGACTATTAATTGTAAGGTACCTGCTCAAACAGAAGGTTGATGGTGCAGTCCATGTTGTCTGCGCTGAGTCGAGAAGAAGGCAAGTGATCTGTGAGAGTTTCGTAAAGCAGAGATGAGCAGTAAGGGTTGAGCAGACCGAAGGTTGCAGGATGCATGTATAATCAAATCAGGGTCATCGTATTGGCTGCGAATCGAAAAGAGGAGATCTCTTGAGAGGGGAGTGTTCAGCCAACAAGTCTTCAAACAACGCTCAATGGGGCAGAGTATACAGCTAGTTAATATACAATATGTAATGTAATTAACGCACACCCTCAGACACCCCAATTAGTATATTATGTTATAATCATAATGCATACACTGAAATTTTAGTTAAACATTTTTATGCACTGATTATTTATCAAATTAGTTATACTAATTCCGGAAGAATGTTGTGGTCACAGTACAAATCCACGAACGCAAAGACTTTAATGTGCTTGAAATAAAGTTCATTTTTCTTTATTTTTATCGAATGACAGAATTAGTAATAATACAAATAAAACTGCACTCTTAAGTCTTATTGAAATAGGTTACGGTCCTTTTCAGTTTGTTTTGACTGTACAGATTTAGTGTGACTGTGATTTACGTTCTTTTAATTATTTTTGGGATAAAAAATTATCTATATTCAAAATGATAGGAATCGATTCAGTAAACGATTCTGAACAAACTACTTTCTCAAAGTGCGTTAATTATGTTACATGTTGTATATATATGTAGTCTTTCGGAAGCTTCGATAGCTTGATTTCGATAGCGTGATGATAGCGCCGCTACAGCTAATTACGTAATATATACTGAATGTAAATTTTTACTATCAATTTGGAAAACATCGGAGGTATGTTCCTGGGAAGAACCTTCAAGAAACAAGCAGCATCTTTTTAACAATAAGGGTGACAAACAAGCACATAGTTCACCTAATTGTACGCGGTTGCTGCGACCTATAGACATCTACATCTATCATCGATTAAGAATCGAAATACAGATGCGTTATCACCCCTGAAGACTAAGATAGAATGCCTTGTTGCAATTAAAATTATAGTGAGTGTAGGAAACCAGTTCTCCGATTCCCTACACTCACCATGAAAAATGCAGCAGCATTAAACTGCTATTTTACTCTGGTATTCAATGAGAGCGAGGTCCTTCCCGTGTCGAGCCGGCCCATTCGTGTTACAACCATAATATAGCTGCAGCATAGCTCTTACTTGTATCAACTAAAAAATAAAAATAGAAAAATGCGGTTGCCCACCCACCTGCAACGATGGTAACTGTGGCAAATATCCCCCCATGTAAAGCAAAGTCTGTAATGGTAATTACATCAAAGAAGCCACTGTCTAGAACTATGACCGAAAAAATCGGCAATACCTATTCCAGTTTCATTTTAATGATTACTATACTTGCACATTAATATTTTAAATGTAATACGGGTTTAAGTGAATTTCTACTTGATATTTTAATAATATATATCTAAGCTCTACTTGGAATAAATTTTTATATTCAATAAGGGCAACGTTTAGTCAATTCTATGAGTATTTAATTTTATTGCAAGATTTTTTTTGTATATTTATGTAATTTTAAAATCTTTATTGCAATATTTTGATGTTATGGCGACACCGTGAAAAAATACACCTCTTTTCATCGCACAGCCTAGGACTATGACACCACTAACGAAAGTAGAATTTTGATTTAGGTAAATTCATGTCTTTATCTTGAATTTGATTGTTCAAAAATACGATTGTATAATTTTGACTCGAATTTTTATTTGCGAACTTTATTTGCGAAAACACCTCTAAAAAACCACTATAGTTGAAATTACAACGAAATTACTTAATCTATATGCTTGGGAATCACTCAAATATATTCATAACATCAATATTCATAATTTACTTGTTCATTATTTTGATTACTTAAATCAATAATTAAAAAAAATTTAAGATTCTGACAATTTCTAAGCGCTTTTAATCGCGCGGGCGCTACGCAATTTTAAACCTTATGACGGCGTTTTTCAAGTTTTTATAGAAATTATTATATGTATTCACTCGGATCAGTAGGGCGATAGCCCGGAGCCACTTTTTCGATGTGTCGTCTTAAATAATCTAAAACTAACTTATTATTATCACCTTAATCTTAAATAAAACTTATAAGAGCACAGAAGCTCAGTAAAGACAAATTGAACTAATTACAAAATCGCTACTGTGGCTGAATGTATAGATAAGACAAGACTAAACAAACAAAACAATGTGAAATCATTTTATTCTGTATGAAGGCAACCGTTGCTGACTCTTCCACTCAGTCCTACATCATAAATCAGCTTTGTCACTATTTCTTCATTAATTTTCTCTATGTATTAAAGCCCTCCGTCGTTTCTCATAATAATCCTGGTCACATCTTAAAAACTACACGTTTCTCTCATCACATAATTACTCACCCTATCATTCAAAGCCAACCATAATATTTTTAATGAACTCAATTCTATAGCTTTAACTTTACCTTCATAATTTTTTCACCACATCGAACTTTCTTTACTATTAAGATGGGTACAAACGCAGCATTGTATATAAAATATAAAAAAGTTTTCAATATCATATAAATATTTTAACATATTTTAAATTTACGAACCGCTTATTTGAAAAGTAGCTAATTTACTCTTAAACATTATATAAATCTGATGCAAGAATTAAGTCATGGCATTGGTCTATAAATAACGGAAGTGTTCATCGTAGAAACATAGAGTAATGAAAACCGGTAAACATTATTCGTTTTTCCTGTTTTATAAATATAGCAGACTGTTAAATATAATTCTGTATAGTATTAAAAATAAATAATTTACGGTTTATACTCTTACATCAACAACTTCTGATTAAATAGCATTTTTTTTTCTGGTACATGTTTTATTGCCATATAAACATTAATAGCCTGCGTACGTTTTACTGGTTCAATTACGACACCACATTAGGTATCGAATAGTAGAATCACTTCTACTTGTTATTTCTCTAGCTAGCCCGTACCAATCTAAGGGAATTTGAGATGGTCATATGCATCAGGGGCATGTAAATTATATCAGATGTACTTTTGTTTTTAAGGAGGAGTTATTGATTAGATCAGAAACAATTAAATATATTGTCGAATGGACAACCAAACTTCATCATTTTGCATCGTTCAGTGTTTTTTTTTCATATAACATAAAATATCATCATCATAATTATATTTTTTTTATAGAAGAGGAGGCAAACGAGCACGCGGTTCACCTGATGTTAAGTGACTACCGCCGCCCATGATCAACCCCAACACCAGGGGAATTGCAGGTGCGTTGCCGGCCCTTTAGAAAGGAGTAAGCTCTTTTCTTGAAGGTCCCCAGGTCGTATCGGTCCGGAAAAATCGCCGGTGGTAAACTATTCCACAGAGAGGTTGTACGCGGAAGAAAACTCCTTGTGAAACGTACAGTGGTGGACCGCCAAGCATCCAGATGGTGTGGATGGTATCGGGACGTTTGCCGCGTAGCGCGTTCATGAAATTTGGCGCCTGGGATTAATCCGAACAATTCCTCAGAGCACTCTCCATGGTATATGCGAAGAAAATGCATATAGATACATTACATCTATAGTATATATATATATATATGTAGTATATATGTATATAATCGAAGTCTATTTAGTTTTACTAATCCAAACAATTCAAATAATATAATAAATTCACATTATTTAACAACAATATTAACTTACATTAATACTTACTCTCATCATAAGTCCACTGCTGAACATAGATCACCCTCAAGAAATGCAATAAAACACTGTCCTGAGCCCAGACTAGAGTTAAGATTGTTATAGCGTATGATGATTCTAGGTTGTAGCTTAATAAATTGACGGCTCCGTGTCTCAGTGGCAGTGCTAAAGGTCGCGGTCTCGAATCCCGCACGAAACAAGTATTTGTATAGCCTAAAACAAGTTCCAGATCTAGATGTGTGTCCTTGTGAAATTTATATTTGTGGACTGCCTCCACTATACAGGATAAAACCCTAATGTGGAGTTAACATTTTTTTAAACTAAAGTAAAAAAGGAAAAATAAATATGATAAACTCTTGAAGTCTTATAAACAGTCATAGAGTTTGGTTCGTTTCGTTATTTTAACGATAAAATATGCTTTAAGAATTAATGTAAAAAAGCTAAAAGGTGAGAGAAGCGCCTTTTGAAAGGGATGTTAAGTAATTTTTTTAAATCGGTTGATATCACGGCTACAACAAAGAAATTGTCGAAAACTTTCCATCTTTAAGTATTTAAGAAAACAAATCTAAATAATTGATTAATTTTCTTATTGCATGCTTTAAGCGCAAAGCGCGTAGGTATGTTCTACTAGCACCTAAAAGTTCAACGTCTTGTCACACGAAATCGTATCTAACAATTGTATTGAACATATAAATTATATAAAAAGCATATTGTCACAAAGACAAATGATCGTTGAACTTATTATTTTTGATTGATTAATTGCTATTTTTTACATTAAAAAAGCCACTAAGGCTTATGGTGTTGATTTATTATGTTCGATGTTATGTTCATAACTTTTCAAGGAGGGGTAAACACGATAACTTTCGAAAATATCAATTGTTGAACTCAATCAATTTTTAATCTATTTATCTATCATGTGGGAATCAATGTTATGTAATTGGGTGTTTAATTTAATTTAATTTAATTTTGTAATGATGATTTTTTTCGGCTGAGAAGATCCGAAAATTTCTGTGTTGGCGCAGCCTTGTAATAATATATTTTACTAAACACAGATACACTTTTACTCACTTTTACTACTTACTTTGAGAAAATTCTATTAAAAGTTTTTTCAATTAGCAATAATAATTTTTTTTTAATCTCAATAATAATAACATAGTAAAATTAAAAATATATTTTCTATTGTTGATTGAGACTTTTTCCTACATTTTTTCATTGATAGTAACATAAGGTTATTTGTGAAAACTTGTGTGTATTTAAAAAACTTTAAAAAATTGATGTATAACATGAGCGCTTAAGGCATG